GGGGGGCGCGGCGCCGCCTGACCACGTGCTCGCCCTCGCCGTCTACCTGCTGGCGGTCGCCGCTGACCTCGCCACGCCGCAGCGCGCTCATGACGTACGTCACACACACGCACACAAACATGCACGCAATACACATAGACGCGCGGACACACACACACAATACAATTTCTTAGTAAATGATTATATTATGAAATATGGCTTTATTTTTATTCGTTGTCATAATCAAATCTCAACGTGTAAAAACGAAGAATATATAAACTTTATGAAGTACTAGCTGTCGACCGCGACTTCGTCCGCGCGGGATTAAAAAAAAACTTAATAAGTAGTTTATGAGTTCTTTTATGTTCTACACCTGTGCCAAATTTCATAAGGCATAAGGAATCAATGGATTCGTACATTATTAAGATGTCTACTGTATTTAATATAGCATATGTTTTGTGCAGCGTTCAGTATGTGTGGCGCACAGTGAGGGCGGGTCACGTGCGCGCTGCGTGCGCGGTGTGCCGCTCCTGCGCGCGTTCGCTGGCGGCGCGCTGTGTGACAACGCGCGCACAGTGGTCGCCGCAGTGCCCCCGCTGCACCGCCCACAGGCACGCCCACATCTCTACCCCAGACACGCCCCCACGTATCACTCCGATAGTAAGTACACGCACACATACAAATTACATCAAATAACGTCTATAATTCCTTTTTAATCCAAGGCAGAGATATTTTTAACATAAATTAATTCCAAATATTGCCTTCAGGTGATACGGAATGGGAGCCGTCAGAATCAGAGGCGGGGCGATTGCCTCCGCCCAACAAGTCCGTGTCTTTACCGGCAACTAGTACAGCTTTAGCTGTGCCTACCGCCATGCAGGTAATTAATAATAAATAAAATCTTTTTACCTTTAAATTCAATACGATAGTAATGTTATTTATACTTTGTAGATGGCGCGATTGGTACATAGAAACTCAGTCCCTGACGACCAATCAGACGCCGGCGGTGATTCGACAGAAGTACGAGCATTAGAGGTATATCTTAATAAATCTAACGATATATTTATTCAAGCGAGTCTCTTGATGCAGATAAGTTAAATATTTGTCTATTTCAGAGTGGAAGTGGAGAAAGTCAAGCCCTGGTGCTGCAGACACTGACCGACTCCGACATGGACTCTGACAACCAAATGACCTTAGCAATACCCACACAGAGTGACCTGGACACACCTCCCGTGCCCATTGAATATGGTAGACTCACTATCGTTACATTTATGAAAGTCCTGTAACTATAGTTAAATTATAAAAGACCACAGAAGCGCCCTCTGTCCATAAACGTGGAGATTAATAATTTTGAATTATATTTTTAGACACAACGGACCCGTTGGAGACGCACTGGCAAGCGCTACCCGCGCCTCCCGCCGCGCCCTCTCCGCCCATGCCCTCCTCCGCCGACACACAGGTCATATACTCAAAAACTATTATGTAAACTAAACAAAAACATCTACATTCATACAATTGAACAGATAAGCGAGGAACCTCTATAAGAGAGAGTCATAGTCCAGTCCCTACGGACGACCTCCATAAGTGAGAAACTCGGGTAAGAGAGAAATTTATATAAGCGAGAAATATATCGCAATTTCTTGGACTCTCACTTATAAAGGTTCGGCTGTATTTAGTCTGGTTCATTTTCAAAATATGAGAAATTTCCTTATTTATGTATCTTTCTTCAGACGATATGTTTGTCGATTCGTTGGTATTTTTTCTGGCTCGAAGGACCATTATTTCAATGTAAGTAATTTAAACGTGCACAGTTTGGTAATAATGTTGTACGTTTACAGATGCAAGTACACAGTCAACCGGACGAATCTATTCCAGTGAACGAATCCATAATATCTTTACTGCTCAAACTGCACTCTCAACTGTCTGGACGACTGGACTCATTTTCTTTGGAAGAACCAGCACCAGCGTCACAGGAACCTATCGGTAATGATAACAGGAAGACTACCAATGTTTTCTATTTCGTCTTATAATAGATGGTTAGTCTGATGAGTCCACCATCCTTTCCGACCCTTTTCTTATAAGGAAAGGATCGCAAAGAGAATTGCATTTGATGGGTACGCATAGGAACTTAAAGTCTTTCTGTGCGTCCCCTCCATATACCTATATCTGCAACTGCGGATGTCTGGGCAGCGGTTGCTTCGTCGTTTTGGCGAATTTAGGTGGCCGCTTGCTCGTTTGCTACCGTATAATATTATAAAGTAAAGATGACATGTGTTTGTGTGTTGTTGCGCAGGCGACGGTCCGTATTTCATCGGTCAGGTGCTACGCAAGCTGGCTGCACTGGACGCGCGCTGTGCCGCCGCCGTGCAGCACGTACGTCGCACGCTGTGGCCACACCAGCGCGAGCGGCAGGCGGAGCAGCGAGCCAGGTGACATTAATGGACATAAACTAACACATATTAATAGTTCAGTTTATTCATATTTAAAAATCAGAAAAATATTGAATAACCAACAACTAACAGGCAACACAACCAAAACGACCACTTATCGGCCATGAGTGGGACTTTAACATATAGCTTGGCTCCTCCTTCTGACTCCTCCCACATCACATTAATATCAAACTTTATAAACTTTGTATTTCAGAGAGCGTCGTGAGAAGGAGGAGCGTTCTCGACGTGCTCGCGAGCGCCAGCAAGCAGTGATGCGGGAGTTCGCGCGTCGGCAACAGCAGTTCCTGTCGGCGATGCGTGCGGAGGCGGGCGACGCCATGGACTGGGAGGATGAGCAGCCCGCGCGTGACTACGACTGCGTCATCTGCAATACCACCGCCCCCGCCACGCACCACGATCCGATCGGACTAGTCGTG